GGTCCGGTACGCTGCGCATCAGCTCAACCTCTGGCCCCATGTCTCCTTGCCGGAGACCTCGCCTACACTGCGTTGGACGGGGGAGGTTGGCGATGCGTCGCGGTTCCGGGTCTGGGGTTCTCGTGCCTTTGTCCGCGATACCACCGCGGACAAGCTCTCCTCTCGCGCCGTCCCCTGCGTCTTCCTTGGCGTTCCCCGTGACGTGCCTGGCTGGTAGTTTTACCACCCCACCTCGCGCGGGGTCTTCCCCTCTCAGGACGTCACGTTTGACGAGTCGGTTCTCTTTTACCGTCTCTTCCACTACCGTACTGCCCCTCTCCCCCCTCCACCACTCTTCCTTACGCCAGGTCCCCCTCCGGTAGACCCCCTCCCCCCTCAGGGTCCTGCTCCTTCAGGTGTCTCTCAGGTAGAGCCGCTTCCCTTGGCTGAGCCTGTAGAGGTCTCTAGCGACTCTAGTGTTGCTGGGGGTGGTTCTGCTCAGGGTGCTGCGTCTGGGGGTGCTGAGCCTGAGCGTGTGGAGCCTGGGGGTGCTGAGCCTAGGGGTGCTGAGCCTGCGGGTGCGGAGCCTGGGGGTGCTGAGCCTGGGGGTGCTGCATCTGGGGGTGCTGAGCTTGCTTGTGCTGAGTCTGGGGTCCTGTGCCTGGTGGTGCGGCGTCTGCTGGAGATCCTCAGAGTGCCTCGCCGCAGCGGTCTGGCCAGCGAGAGCCTCTCTCACCACAGCAGCTGCGCGAGTGGTTTGCTCGGCGCACACGCCTTGGGAGTCGCGCCGCTGGTGACTCAGGTGCTGCTGGGGGTGGTGCTGCTCGGGGTGCTGCGTCTGGGGGTGCTGAGCCTGCGGGTGCGGAGCTTGGGGGTGTCGAGCCTAAGCGTGCGGAGCCTAGGGATGCTGAGCTTGTGCGTACGGCGACTGAGCGTGCGGAGCGTGGGGGTGCTGAACTTGGGGGTGCTGGTTCTGGGGGTGCTGAGCCTTGTGGTGTTGCGTCTGCTAGTGGTCTTCCGGGTGCCTCGCCGCAGCAGACTAGCCAGCGAGAGCCCCTCTCACCACAGCCTCCGCGCGACTGGTTTGCTCGGCGCACCCGCCTTCGGAGTCGCGCTGCTGGAGCTGGAGGCGCTGGAGCTGGAGGCGCTGGAGCTGGAGGCGCTGGAGCTGGAGGCGCTGGAGCTGGAGGCACTGGAGCTGGAGGCACTGGCACTGGAGGCGCTGGCGCTGGAGGTGCTAGAGCTGCAGGTACTAGCGCTGGAGGCGCTGGAGCTGGGGGTAATGGAGCTGGAGGCCCTGTGCAGCAGCGACCGTTTTTCTTGCCGCCGCCGCAGCTGTCCTAGCTCCCGCCCGAGTCGGTGCTCTGTCAGGTTCTTAGTCTTCCTTCGTCCACTGCCCTTCCTCAGGACTCGCCGCTACTTGCCCCGCCTCGTTACACTGAGCAGCCAGCCTCCCTTACAAAGCGTCGTGAGCCTGCGTCTCGTCCTGCCTCCCCTGTTCGCACTGTTCGTCGTGCTCGTCGTGTCCCTCGTCCGCATCTTCCTCCTGTGCCAGGTACTCACACTATGGCACTTCGTCCTTCCTCTGTCCCACAGCGCGTCCCTCTGTCGTCTCCTCCTGCGTCCTCTCTTCCTGACGTTCCGGACCCTGAGTCTGACCGTGTTCGTGCTGCTAGTCCCACTGTCACGCGTCTCCTCGCTACTGTCGTTACTGACCCGTCGTTTGAGTCTACTTCTGCGTCTGCCTTAGTTGCTGAGCTTGTGGACTTTGCTGCTGCGTGTCGTCTAGACTACGCCACTAGTCTTGTTGCTGAGTATGAGTCTGTCTGTCCTCCGTCCGTCGAGGGTGAGTGTGCTCTTGGCACGGACGTCCTTGAGGACAGGCAGGAGGACTTTGAGTGTCTTGCGGCTGCTGTACCTCATCTCGTGGCCATGCTGCTTGCACCTGAGGGAGACCCGGATGCACTGGACATCCCGACCCCGCGCTCTTACGCAGAGGCGATTACGGGTCCCTACTCCTCTCAGTGGCAGACAGCCATGGACGCAGAGATGGCATCCTAGAAGTCCACAAGCACTTACGCGGACGCTTTTCCCCCTCCTGGGGCGAACATAGTCGATGGCATGTGGATTTTCAGGGTGAAGCGGCCGCCGGGTTCTCCGCCTGTCTACAAGGCTCGTTACGTTGCTCGAGGCTTTAGTCAGCGACAGGGAGTTGACTTCTTCCATACCTTCTCCCCTACCCCGAAGATGACCACTCTTCGGGTGCTGCTGCACGTTGCCGCTCAGCGTGACTACGAGCTTCACTCTCTTTACTTCAGCACAGCGTTCCTGCAGGGCAGCCTACACGAGGAGATCTGGCTGCGCCGCCCACCTGGCTTCACTGGGTCGTTTCCTGCAGGTACCCAATGGAGCCTCCGGCGGCCAGTGTACGGTCTCCGCAAAGCGTCCCGCGAGTGGCACGACACACTGAGGACTACACTTGCGGCTCTTGGGTTTGCTCCTTCGACTGCAGACCCGTCGCTGTTTCTGCGCACCGACCCTTCTCTTTCACCGTTCTACATTATCGTTTACGTCGAGGACTTGGTCTTTGCTACTGCTGACATTGACGCATTGGCCCTTGTGAAGTCGGAGCTGCAAAAGAGACACACGTGCACTGACTTGGGTGAGCTGCGCAGCTATCTTGGCTTGCATATGACACGGGACAGAGCACTGCGCACCATCATTCTGCCTCAGTCACAAATGGTGCACCAGATCCTTTAGCGCGTCGGCTTCCAGTTTTCTCGCCACGATCGACTCCTCTGCCTACAGGCCACTGGCTCTCAGGCGCCTCGTGAGTGGCACGACACACTGAGGACGACACTTGCGGCTCTCGGGTTTGCTCCTTCCACTGCTGACCCGTCGCTGTTTCAGCGCACAGACACATCGCTGCTGCCGTTCTACATCCTCGTGTACGTCGACGACTTGGACTTTGCCACTGCTGACACTGAGGCACTCGCCCTTGTGAAGTCGGAGCTGCAGAAGAGACACACGTGCACAGACCTGGGTGAGCTGCGCAGCTACCTTGGCTTGCAGATCACCCGGGACAGAGCACGCCGCACCATCACACTGACTCAGTCACACATGGTGCAGCAGGTCCTTCAGCGCTTCGGCTTCCAGTTCTCCTCACCACAGTCCACTCCTCTGCCTATTGGTCACTCGATCTCAGCTCCACCTTCGGACGAGTCCGTAGAGCCGAGTGGCCCGTACCCTGAGCTTGTGGGCTGCCTCATGTACCTGATGACCTGCACTCGACCTGACCTTGCGTACCCTCTTAGCATCCTGGCTCGCTACGTTGCACCTGGGAGACACAGGCGAGAGCACTGGGAGGCTGCTAAGAGGGTGCTGCGCTACTTGTGCAGTACATCAGGTATGGGGCTGGTGCTTGGAGGACAGGGTCGAGTTGTCCTCATTGGACACTCAGACGCCTCTTGGGTTGACGACCTGGCTATGCAGCGGTCGTCACAGGGTTACACCTTCAGCCTTGGTTCCGGCTCTGTTTCTTGGCGGTCTACCCGCTCTTCTTCTGTCCTCAGCTCCAGTTGTGAGGCTGAGATCTACGCAGGAGCCATGGCTGCACAGGAGTTACGCTGGCTCACCTACCTGCTGACTGACTTGGGAGAGTGGCCTAGTTCTCCTCCAGTTCTGTACGTAGACAACAAGGCTGCTATTGCCTTGTGTCGGGAGCACAGACTGGAGCACAGACTGGAGCACAGAACGAAGCACATCGCTCTACGCTACTTCCTGGCTCGAGAGTTGCAGCAGTGTGGCCAGCTTCGTCTTGCTTACGTGGCCACTCGGGCCAACACAGCTGATATCTTCACCAAGGCACTTCCGCCTGGTGATCATCAGCGTCTGTGTACTGCTTTAGGCCTTGTGCCTACGTTTGCTCACTTGCTCACTGCGTGACCTTGCTTGTACTGTGATCTATATATATACCTGCATGTTTGTTGAACTATATTGTGTTTACGTGTTGTAGGCTACAGTGGGGTAGCCACTAAGGGGTACAACCCGTGTAGGGTTTGGTACTTGTATCCCACTTTTCCTTAGTTCATTCATTCGAGCCCAGGATTCTAACAATGCTTTCACTTGCTAGGTTGTGATCACTGTACTGTCTGCTTTGTTTTTTAGAACTCTGCATGTGAACTGGCCTTGTGGTCATCTGCTTGTGCTGGGAGTGTGTGGTGACGTTGTGACCAACCCTAAGCTTGCTTTGCTTTTCTTGACTGGTCTTGTGACCACTGGTTCTCCCTTACTTTGTATATGGGGGTGTGTTAAACTATTATGCTGTTTGTTGTTTGTAGGCTGTAGTGGGGTAGCTTACATGGGGTACAACACATTCTAGGGTTCCTACTTCGTTTGACATTTTAAACACCTTTTCTCTAGAACATTCATACATATACTAGTGCAAGCATGCATGACGGATTTGCATTCATTAACGAATCGTATTAAATGTTGCACAGGATCTGTACAATGTGTTTGCTCGCAATGCTGACAATCCATCAATTAAAAAACAGTAGCCTTCATAGTTGGCATACTTGATGTGAAACAAAATGATGCACTTATCAAATCTGCACATATTTAACAAAATATAGATTTTTATGTAAACCAGGTAATTTACAGGTATAGAACCCTGCAGAGTAGACATTGTAACTACATGCTCCTTAGCGGGAATTCGAACATGAAAGAATTCTTGCCGAAACCATCGATTGGGCGAAATGGGCGAACCCTAACACAGGAAATGCACGAAACCCAAGCATTTCGCTTGAAGCAGCTTTCCCGTAGCTATGAATCGAACACCAATGAAACTCCTCCCCGCGAGCTCATAACCAGTTCCCGCGTTTGTCATACCGCTGGTTCCCGAAGCGCTCGCCTTGAAAGCAGCTGCAAGGTAGCTCTGGCGTAACCCTAAAGTCGTTTCACGGCGAGGTGCTTTGAAGCTCCTGAACCTGAAGGTACCCCCCTCCACCCTCGCTGTTTTTGCGATGCATCCAATAGCGGGTGCGCGCCAATCCGCTGCGGGCAGCGCTGGTCCGGACAGCGCGGAAGCGGGGGGGTCGCAAGGCGGGGATGCTTTCGCGGATCAGTCGTTGGCAGGCGCTGCGAGGGACGCTGCGGCAGCGGTGCGGGCGGACGCGTCGGGGGCAGCGGCGCCCAGAGAGTCGTGCATCAAACACATCGACGCCATCTGGTTCTGCTACTGTGAGCTGTGAGCGCCCTGCTGCTGCTGTGAGCGCCCTGCTGCTACTGTGAGCGCCCTGCTGCTGCTGTGAGCGCCCTGCTGCTGCTGTGAGCGCCCTGCTGCTGCTGTGAGCGCCCTGCTGCTGCTGTGAGCGCCCTGCTGCTGCTGTGAGCGCCCTGCTGCTGCTGTGAGCGCCCTGCTGCTGCTGTGAGCGCCCTGCTATTGTAAGCGCCTTGCTGCTGCTGGATGGGTGTGAAGAGCATGCGGGCATGCGTCACATGAGTGCAAGCATGTGCTGCTCCGCTCTTGAGTTGCTCTGCTGGACGTTCCCCTTCTCACAGTCCATGCCACGACACCACTGCACCCGTGCCATCATTGCTGGCACTCCGGGCCCCCTGCTTCTCATCGTTACTCGCTCTCTCACCCATGCTTCGCCCCGCTCCGCCTCCTTGTCCCCATGGCCGTGGCACGAAGCAGCGCCGGTGTACCAGACAACGCAGTACTACCGCGAGGGCACGTTTGACTCGTGCCTCGGCAAGTGGGGCCACCTGTGGGACTGCATGCTGCTGCGCACCGCTGCTGCCCCCTCCGTGCTGGTCAGTGTCGCCCTGCTGGTCAGTGCCGCCCTGCTGGACAGTGCCGCCCTGCTGGACAGTGCCGCCCCACCTCCTCGCACCTCTGTAGTACTCGCCACGGCCATGCTCCCATGCGCACATGCTCCCATGCTCCCATGCTCCCATGCTCCCATGCTCCCATGCTCCCATGCTCCCATGCTCCCATGCTCCCATGCTCCCATGCTCCCATGCTCCCATGCTCCCATGCTCCCATGCTCCCATGCTCCCATGCTCCCATGCGCCCATGCTCCCATGCACCCATGCACCCATGCTCCCATGCTCCCATGCTCCCATGCTCCCATGCTCCCATGCACCCATGCACCCATGCTCCCATGCTCCCATGCTCCCATGCTCCCATGCTCCCATGCTCCCATGCTCCCATGCTCCCATGCTCCCATGCTCCCATGCTCCCATGCTCCCATGCTCCCATGCTCCCATGCTCCCATGCTCCCATGCACCCATGCTCCCATGCTCCCATGCTCCCATGCTCCCATGCTCCCATGCTCCCATGCACCCATGCTCCCATGCTCCCATGCTCCCATGCTCCCATGCTCCCATGCTCCCATGCTCCCATGCTCCCATGCTCCCATGCTCCCATGCTCCCATGCTCCCATGCTCCCATGCTCCCATGCTCCCATGCACCCATGCACCCATGCTCCCATGCTCCCATGCTCCCATGCTCCCATGCTCCCATGCTCATGCGCCCATGCTCCCATGCGCCCATGCTCCCATGCTCCAATGCTCCCATGCTCCCATGCTCATGCGCCCATGCACCCATGCACCCATGCTCCCATGCTCCCATGCTCCCATGCTCCCATGCTCCCATGCTCCCATGCTCCCATGCTCCCATGCACCCATGCTCCCATGCTCCCATGCTCCCATGCTCCCATGCTCCCATGCACCCATGCTCCCATGCTCCCATGCTCCCATGCGCCCATGCTCCAATGCTCCAATGCTCCCATGCTCCCATGCTCATGCGCCCATGCTCCCATGCTCCCATGCTCCCATGCTCCCATGCACCCATGCACCCATGCTCCCATGCTCCCATGCTCCCATGCTCCCATGCTCCCATGCTCCCATGCACCCATGCACCCATGCTCCCATGCTCCCATGCTCCCATGCTCCCATGCTCCCATGCTCCCATGCTCCCATGCTCCCATGCTCCCATGCTCCCATGCACCCATGCTCCCATGCTCCCATGCTCCCATACGCCCATGCGCCCATGCTCCCATGCGCCCATCACTGCCACCTTCCAGCTGGACGCTGCTCTCGATGGGTATTTCTGAGAGTTCTTAAGCACTCAGTGCCCTCGTCCCCCGTGCTGTTGCGTACCTCCGCTGGCACGGGCGGTGTGAGGCCTTGAGCTGATGCACTGCCCACGGCATTCATGAGCACTCTACTTCAGCATCCAGGGTGCATGCTTATTCACTCGTTCTCTGTGTGTCCTCTAAGGGTGTGTAAGAGTCGCTAAAAGCTGTTATGGCTGGTTTTTAGTCGGCCATATGGTCGACAAAAACTTTCGCGAAAGTCGACTTCGTGGTCGACCAGTCATCAGCCGCATCTACGAATTGTAAAAAAACAGACAAACTTGGTGGCCGATTTGCAGGCCGTTGTTGAGAAAGTGTCAGGTTTGCAGTCGCATGCTTGGCCGGATCGTGCGACGGTGTCGTACGTTTTGACAGGATTGATTCTTTCATAGTTACATGTGTCGTTCTATCGCATGCGCTAGTGTGCGAAGTCGCATGGTCACTGTAGCTCAGCCTGGTCGACAAGTGGTCGCCTTTGAGTCGGACTGCACGTCGGATTGAAGTTGACTTTTGAAACGGCCACCACATCTTACAAGTGGCCGGATTTTACGACGTTTTCGAAATTATACGCGAATGTCGCCACGTTGTTACTTTCGCCAAACCCGGCGAAAACGGATCTGACACACCCTAAAGCTTTTTGCTACTCCCCTCTTGGCCTCCATGCGTCGCTGGTCTTCCTCTTTTATGATGACGCATGCGCCCCATACCCATGGCACCACTGACACCTCCCAACTCCATTGCCGGAGGCGCCTGCTTGCTCCCCAAACCGCCATCCATCTGTCTTCCTCTTCATCCATCGCCTTGCCCTTCATCAATCACCGTCCTCTGCTTCTCCGCTTGTCCTCTTCCCCACACGCCATTCACCCAATGCTCCACGGGTGTCACCTGCCTGCCAGGCTCGCCGTGAGGAGAGGCGCAATCAGCAGGGCCCTCCGCCGGCGCACATCTGGCAGATGCGCTCGCCAGAGGAAGCAAGCAAGTTCTGGGAGCAGGAGTTTGGAGGCAAGTCCTAGGTTGGTTATTCAGTGCTTTTATGTTTGTTGAAGCCATTCAGTGCTTTTTTGTCTGTTAAACCCATATTTGCCCACTTAAATGTAGGCTGGCCATCCAGGGACTGAAGTACCAGATTCTTACCCTCTGGAAACAGAAGCTGCAACGGTAAGTCATTGGACACCAATTTAGCCGCATTGAGCAACACTGCATGCACATCTGGACATTCTACTAGCAAATATCGCACCCAACACATGGAGGCCAAGCCTGAGAGTAGAAGCAGTCGCAGCACGCCAAGCGAGCATCTACAACGACGCCATCATCTCCTCCTACGAGCTAATAGGCTGGGCCACGCAGACCGCGTCGCCTCGAGATCACCCAGGGAGAGTAAGGTCCATGCTCTGAGAGCCTAGCGCAGTTAGTAGCTCTTGCAGCAGACGAAAGCGCCGTTCTTCTGGCAGCAGCCGCCCTTCTTGCAGCACTTGTCGCCGCCGCAGCACGGGTACTCGGGGCTCTGCGCCGTGCACGCGTTCCCACGGGTGTTGGGGTAAGGGCGCAAGCAGGGAGGGGGGTTAAGCGTTGCATCACGTGTCGGCACGGCGGCACGAAATGGAAAGGGGAGTGATAAGGGGACAGTGAGACATCCAGGTGATCGAATGGAGCAGGGGAGTGGCGATGACGGTGGGAGGGGGGAAACGAATAAAAGCAGGAGAATGAAGGGAGTGCGGATGGTGGGTCCTTTCCAGAGCAACTTACAATGCAGCACGCGCCGCCGCAGTACTCCGCCGGCGGCGAGTTGCCCGACTTGCCAGCATAGGGGCAGTAGCCAGAGCCGTCGCCGGCCGCGTTACGGCGCTTCTTGTGCTTCGGCTTGTACGCGCCGCCACTGCTTCGGGTTTCTGCGCCGCTAGTTCCGGCCAGGATGCGACGCTCTACGACTTGGCTGAGATCGTCGCCGAGGAAGTCTGCGACTTCGTCGGCAGCATCGTCGAAGGTGAACTCGTCGTTGGCGATCGCCGACTCGACATCGGAGGCGGCGGTGCGCGCGGGCAGCAGGTGCAGCACGAGGGCCGCCGCAAGGAGTGCGAGATGAGAGAAGCGTAGGGCGTTCATCCTGTTTCTATCGGCGTGGGAGAGTAGCGACTAGCTGAGCTGGATTTAACGACTAGCTAAGGATTGCTGTCAGGTGGCACTGATGGCTTGCTGTTGAATAATCTGATACTTTTTTAAGCAGCGGGCCTCTTTGTATCTGGCTTACAGTTCCCGCTCGAGGCGCGGTGTTGCACAAGTCCGTACCGAGCTGTGGGAAAGACCACCACACCATGTGACCCGAGTTAGACGCGATTGGGCTTGTGGGTGAAAAAGCGGCTCGATTGCGCTTGTCGCGAGCGTGGGCGTCGTGTGAAGTGTGTACGTGATCGTGCTGCTTCTCTGCGGGTGAGCTTTGAGAAGTGCGTGCTTGTGTGGAGAGGCGCACGCCGCTGCTTGCGTCGTGGGTGCACACGAGTTCACAAAGAGGTGTACATCCGGATTTACTTGGACACTACAGATTGCTGTTCCCTGTTTCGAGTTGTACTATAGAGTGAGTGGAAGAATACTATAAAGCGGAAGTGATTTCAGAATGACGAAACAATGAAGAAAGCGAGCGAATATAGGGCGGAAAGTAGCTAGGCGAGAACCTCTAACGTGCGAGGGTTGGATGTGTCGCGATTGGTGCAGAGCGATTCAGAATTGGTTCAATGCGGAAGTGTAGGCCGAACCCAAACTGACGCGAACTGTTCGGGCTGTCCTCGCTAGGAGGTGTTGGAAACAATTGATTTAATGCGCTTCTATCGTGTCGAAACACCAAGTCGAAAGCGAAGCGAAGTATATCGAAGCACCAGCGAGTCAACCCTCGGAGGTTGAAGTAACTGTTGGAAGTTACGCGAAAGTCAAAGGTCAGAGACCTTTGACCTGACAAGTACAGCGCGACAGCAAGGACACACAACTGACTCGTTACAGAGCAGTTGCCCGAGTCGTCACTGTATCGAACCGCAACAGCAATAGTAAAGTAGTTATAACTGTATCTCTTCATATTCCTTGTACTCATATATAATCTTGTATCTCTTTGCTTTAATCAACTTACTTTGCCCTCACACACTAGCGCAAGGTGGTTCACAATCCTATCATTAAACGCTTCCGCTATTACATCGTTCCTACCCAGAGTTCACCCCTGCAAAGATCCTCTAAGGGCTTTTCTCAGCCCAACATGGTATGAGAGCTAACAGGGGGAATTCAACTACTATCGAGTCATCTACAACATCAGAAGACATGGCAACCCAGAAAGAAAGGAGCTCTTCTAACGGCTCCCACGGAACTACCCCTACACCACCGCCTGCCTCTGGCCTGCAAACGGAGGAGAACCCAACAACAAGACCAGCAGCGGGGTCTACCGAAACTCCCGCGAACCAAGCTTCAGGCTTCGACCCAAGTATGATGGAGATTTTTTTTCTCCTTTATGTCCTTCTACGAGCAGCACCAGCAAGCGGGACCTGCAGAATCAAACAACAACAACAACAACGCCACACCAATGAGTCTCGATGGCTCGTCATACGCGCGCGGAAATCAACAGCAACAGCCTACCTTTGCTCCGTACGAGCGCGGGTCCATCAGCTTCATGCCGCACCCGCAGCCTTCACCTGGACAAGAGAAACCACTGGACGCGTTACAAGTTCAGTCGCAGTTCGCACACGTTCTGAAACTGCAGACGTCAAGACCTTTCGACGGAAAGGACTTCTTCACCTGGTCGTTCGAATTCGAGTTGATGATGGAAGGCGCACAGATACTTGGCTTCTTCGACGGGTCCCTGCCATACCCAACAAACGGCACACAGTACGAGAAGCAGCAGTACACTTATCAGTCAATGATGGCGTACACGATCCTACTGAGAAACATCACACCGACTCAGCAGCAAAACATACGCTCTTACCGGGGTTACGGCAACTCCGCGGAGCTCGCATACAACCACTTGAAGAACCTGTATCAAGCAACAGACAGTGTAAACCAGAGTCGGTTAATGGCGCAATTGACAACAGTCGAAATGAAACCAGGCGAGAAGGGAATGGCGTATATCAGCCGATGTCGCGAGCTGCGCGACAAGCTTCTTCGATGCGGAGGGTCAATATCTGAAGACGCCTTCGTGACAGTCATCATCGGCGGCCTCGGTCCTCAATGGCGCGCCACAAAGGCCATTCTCCGAGCCCACGGAAGAATCTCTGAAGCAGCGCTCTGCGCCGAAATCCACGCCGAGCAGCAAGACATGGACCTGCAAGAAGAACGACACAAGAGAAAAACGTCAGTTCCGGAGTTCGCGTTCCACACTCAGCGACGCTACAGCAACAACAACAACCGACAACAACCAAAACCCGTACCTCCGTTCTGCCACATCTGTAAGACGTCAGGGCACCCGCGCACGCACTGCCCGAATCGACAACAGTCAACACCACCACAGCGACAGCTTCGACCTTCAAGCAGCCAAGTTGCCTCAACGCAAGCGAATCCCACGACCCAGGTTCAAGCTTCAACGACACCAACGGGACAACCTGCACAAGGAGCAAGGAACATCGTCAGTTGCATGGCAAGATTGACCGACTCCTGCGTCACTGAATTGTTGGTGTAAGGGCCTAATAAACTCAAGCTATTAGGACTTAATCAAACTTAAAACCTCTCCTCGGGGTCACCTCCAAGGGTCCCTGGGTGCCTGGTACAAGACCAGCCCCTATCCTCGGGTCCAAGTTTGTAGAGAGAGGGATCAAGAAGGACTTAGTCAAAACAGCAAGAGTACCTTGAACGTCGCGCAGCGTGCCATGCAGACCGTCGGTCGGATTAAGCTGAGAATTCGCTATATCGAAGCTCGCTCCAAGAGCTTTAAAATGAGCCAAGTTGCCTCGCGAAAAGTTCTGCCATTACTAAGTTATGGCTCAGACGGTGTTTGCCTAGCATTAGAGTGCTAGCGTACTAGCGTTGACTCGGGTAGCATTCCGCCAACGAACCGCGTAGAAACGAAATTCCAGCGAGGAAGGAATTCGCATGAATCAATTTGACTATGTTCAGGTACAAACAGAGAAGGATTAAATAGTTCTAGCTAGCAAGGACCTTGGGAATCAACCTGGGAACAACCAGGGATGATCCCAAATAATTCCAAGCAACAGAACCAACCTGGCTGGACAAAATAGCAGGTGGTAGGTTGGTAAACAACCTCTGGTTCTGTTTTTCCAACCTGGGAAAACAACAACCAGGTTCAGGTTCTAAAAACAGAACCTGTTTTGTCTTTGCCCAACCAGCCAAATGCTGGTTCCGCTGGTTTCCCCTGGCCTTGTAGCATGCAGATACAGACAAACAACATCCAACCTTTACCTAAATTGTACCCCTATAGTGCCTTCCCTGCTACACTATAGTTAACCAAACAAAACAGTACAATTCCGAGTTGGATAGAACTGAATCTGCGCAATCAACTCAACCGAACTGCAAAGCTTCCATCTTGGGTTCCTTTGCGAGCTCGTCCTTTCTGCTTGCACTGTTCATAGCGCATACAATGTTGTGCCGAAGCGCACATTGCGCGAGTACCTGCAAATGCATCAAGCGAAAAATGCGAAAGCAAACAAACACACGAACACACCATTCACACGCAAATGCATTCGCACACGCATGCTCGTACAAACAGACGGCAGGATGTCGTGCAATGTAAATTTGCACCCAACACATTCCCCCTCAGCCTGCCGGCTGCATCCCCGTCATTCCATGCTAGTTCATGCTCATTCCACTCATGCGCACACAACGCCAATGAGGCTCATCCGCAAGCCTCTTGGTGAGAAAGTCTGCTGGCTGCTGGTGAGTCTTGATGTAGATCGGATGCACCGTCCCCCTCTTCACCTCCTTACGCAGCCAGTGCCACTTGATACGCATGTGCTTGTTCAGCCCATGAAGCACAGCGTTTCTGGCCATCCCAAGAGCCCCCTTGCTATCACAAAACAGCGGCGTAGCA